TTGAAACATGAGTTGCTCACAAGACAGCGAATGTGTTCTCATGGAAACAAAGAAGAGGCCATCGGGCAGGTACCACAAAGATGGCACTTACGAATAAAAAATAGAGTCGATTATTAGTAATTTTACTAATTTATAATAAAAAACTTCAAAAAAGAGAGTAAAAAAGAAGACTACAATGGCCATTATCGACATTTTGTTGGAAATGCGGGTGCGTCTTGCTTTAATCGACGCCTGCCTGTTGCTTACCAACTTGTTGTCTGGCGAGTGTCAGGCAAATGGTGCATAGGTCATTTTGAAAGTTGTTGAGAGGGCGCCCCCCCCCGCCCCCTCCCTCCCCTTCCGCTCCTTCCCTGCTCGCTCTCTGTTTCTGAACAGCAGTGGCAGTTTTGATGATTGACGATTTCAGGATTTTCGATATGTGGCATTTGAGCAGTTGTTGGAAAGAGGGTTTGTGGTGGGTCTGACATGGGGGTGTGGTGTACTCTGGATCTCTTTTGCAGGGATGAAGTGGGTTGAGTTGGAAATGGCTGTGGAGAGATGGATGATGCCTTTCTTACGGGCAGTGCGATTCTACCGCCGTTCCTTTGTCGATCAACTAGGTGTGTGTGTGCCCTGAAGCCCATTTCAGTCTGCGCTACTGTAGTTTCAGAGACGCAAATATTTTTATGGGATGAATCCCCGACTTTGTGGTCTTCCCGGACACGTGCAAACTTCTGGATATGGGTCGGCGAACATTCATTTGCAATCAGACTCGACTCTGGACTTGCTCACAACAAGCACACATGAGAACCGATGGCAAACCTAACTCGTGAACTCAGAATCAACAACGAACTTGCTCTTAAACTCTGTTCAGAACAACTATACAACTTGCGGCTATGGGCGCCGCCAGCCTCACTCTTTCTCACCCTCACATGTACGCACGTACGAGGATCACCCTGAATGTCCACGCAGCACCGACACACACACTCTGTACACCCTGTCTGCACCAACAGCATAGCCGCCGTCGTCTTCCTCCTCCTAGCCATGGCCGCCGGTGTCTCTCTCTCGCTGGTTCGCTATGGCCGCTGTCTTCTTCACAGCCCACTTCCTCTCCGGGCACCTGCAGACCTCCACGCACAAGATACCAAGGCAGCTCTTCCGCATGGCACACAGGCGAATGAATGAATGGCTGGACGCTGCCTCTTTATTTCTTCTTCTTCGGAGGTACCCGGGCCTGCCTCAAAACGTGTGGGCCTGGGTCAAAACGTGTGGCCCAGGGAAGCTTTCAGACGTTTGGCCTTCTGGGCCAAAACGTGTGGATCCCACAGCGTCGTCCAGAACCCCTTCCCCACGTGCCGCCCCTACCCCTGGTACTTGCTGACTTGACTGGCCTACACGGACCTAGGACTTTCTAGAGCCTACATACTTGCGTCTCTAGGCCTCAGTAGACTCAGATAGAGACTTCTAGAACAGACCTTCCTAAGCCTAACGGTAACAGACCTAACTCCTAATCTACCGACCTAGGGATCGAGTCTCACACAGATTGCTGGGCCTGTGTACAGGGTACAGGGTAGGTCTAGGGGTCTAATCTCACTCAGCACACAGGTTCAATGTACAGGGTTTGGGCACAGGTCTAGGGATCGAATCTCACTCAGCACACAGGTTCAATGTACAGGGTTAGGGCACAGGTCTGGGGATCGAATCTCTGTGTCTGCAATGTCAGGTGGTCAACAGATTGCGGTGTCATTTTCTTGCCAGAAACCGTTTGACATTCTTAAAGTTCTGGAAACCGTCTGGTACAGTCATGCTTTTTTTTGTGTGTGCGTGGAGTTGGGCACTGCGAAAAAAAAAAGGAAAAAAAAAAAAGAAAAAAGAAAAAAGAAAAGAAAAAAAGAAAGAGAAAAAGAAATAAAATGAGAACACATGCACATGCACATGCAGGAAATGGCCTCTCCACTCTAGTCGGCCTTCGTTTCTTGTTTTTTTTTCTTTTTTTTTTTTTGAAAGGAGCACTTCTGCTTTTCAGCGTTGCCATTAGCGTGTCAACATTTTTCTTTAACCACTGGTCGCGCGTAGGTAGTAGGTACACATGCCCGCCTGTGCCTGGCAGTGTAATGTAAATGACGGATGCATCCTACAGTCTGTTGTTCGTGAGTGAGAACAAAACAGTTCAGTGAATGGGAAATTGCATAGTTTTAATAGTTGTAAATAAAAAAAACACCATTCCTTTATATGAGACTCCTCCCTTTAACTCAAGGGTGAATTTAACTAGGGTGTATAGAACTTTGGTTATCAAGTTGATTGATCAACGTACAATGGAACTGGTGTGTTTTGATTTACTATATGCTAGAAATTTGGTTATCTTCACAAGTCTCAGGGTATCTGTTTTCGTACCATCTTCACCCGAAGAGAGCATGCTCAGTCATTATAGGTGTGTACTTGTCCCAACTGTCACTCTAGGTACAGGCTATAATCACTGGCCGTTCCATTTGGATGAAGACAGCAGTTTACCTCTCTTAAAGGACCACTACCTTTCACTACCTTTCACGTGCATCGGCCGTTCCATTTGGATGAAGACAGCAGTTTACCTCTCTTAAAGGACCACTACCTTACACTACCTTTCACGTGCATCGGCCGCACGGAGGCTTCCCGCTCGAGTCGGAGGCCGAAACGAAACAGTGGCCGCTGCTGACATTTATCAACGGTGGCCATCGTCGGGCCCGGGTCGTGAAGAATGCGGTGTAGGTTTTATTCCCACTTTTCCCGACACTGTGAAACGTAGTGGCGGTTTAAGCAAAATCTTTCTTGTTGTTTTCTCTCGTTAACCCCTTGGAGGAAATCACTGTATTTTTTACCTCAGTATTAGGTGTCCTTGTTCTCGGAACGCTTTCTGAAAGTCGCCGCTATACATCATGCTCTCTCTCTCTCTCTCTCTCTCTCTCTCTCTCTCTCTCTCTCTGCTGTGCGTGTTTTGCACCTGCGTGTTTGTGCATTCCTTTTAAGGTTTGTTGCTGTCCTCGACAATCTGTCTTCCTCTCTCTTCCTCTCTCTTCCTCTCCATTGCTGTGAAGGTTTGCTGTCAACCTTCATTGCAGTGCGAGCAAAGCGTGACTATTGAGGACAATTAGCAGAATATCGTGCCGAATGCGCACACCCATGGGTTGCTGTACAAATCCACCGCTTCAACAGAAGCGGTGTTCCCTCCATAACACCTGCTTCGAGGTCGGAAGGTTAAGATTACCCCTTTTTGTTTTCTTTTTTCCAAGTAAAGAGAGTCGGTCAATCTCTCTTCTCGGTAACTCACTCAGTCACTCGTGGGCTCACTGTCGTACTTTTGTGGTGAACGTTTACTTGCTTGTGCACTGCAGAGCAAAGGTCATCTGTTCTGAGGGAGCTAGTTGGCCCGGAGCTGGGTTTCACACTGGCATTGCTTGCATCCATGCTTTGGACTGTAGACGCTTTCATGGCAGATGCGCATCTTGAAAACCATCAGGAAGAGGTAAGTCACTCTCATGTTTTCAGCTCCCCGATGTTTGTCTGCTTTTTTTTTTTTTTTTTTTTTTTTGAAAGTCCAGATCGTAGTAGAGGCTGTGGATGCTAGACCGCAGGAGGTGCCTGTTGTTGTACTCAACCAGTGGGGAGATCAGATGGTTTGTGACAGGCCCAAGGACAGTCTCTTTTCTGTTATTAGATCGCAAGTCGAGCCCTACAGCGGTGCGACCCAGACCTGTCTCTAGACCTAGACCTACACCAACCCCCCCCCCCTTCCGAGGGTCTCAGATAGAGTGTTTCTCCCTGGGCGCTACCATAGTGAAACAGTTTTCACCTTTGGCAGTAGCCGATGCAGATCCCAGGGGTCGATCCCTTGACCTCAGCTTACCTGTGTACAGTATCTGCACAGTTCCCTGGAGTTGAACCCGTGACCTGCACGATAGCCAGTGGTAAGTAGGTCGCTGT